CACAGGCTCTGTGACTCTGAGACTCTCAGAAATCACCACGGGACCAGCAGGTCGCAACTCGAGGGGCTGCCCCTCACACTCGTCACCAGCACCACTGCTTCCCTAGAGTCCCCAGAGGTCAAGAGAAAACTCCACAGGGACAGAAGTTGCGGCTTTGACCTCAGAAATCACAAGAGCCCTGTATGTGGGGATGGGAGGACCAAGGGGCATTGGGAGAGGCTCCCCACAGGGAGCCCTCTGGATTGGTGCATCCCAGGGACTATGCCCCTGTTCTGCCAAGCGACTCAAAGGGTCTCCTGGGGCATCATGACCCCACTCGGAGCCTCACTTCACCTATCTGTAAAATGTTGGACTGGATGAGTAATCACCAATTATTACTACCATTATCCTGATTACTGTTGGGCTCAAGATCCCATTCTTCAAATGAAACCCCTTGTAGAGCCTCAGTAAGAAAAAAAGAGATCTGATTGAAAATGGAGTTTAGGGGCCCATGTCCCTTTTCCCCCTTGTTCTGAGGACCCCTATGGCTCTTGAGAATTGTTTAAAAACTGCTAGGCTAGCTGAGCTCCCGGTCCATGCAGCTGAACTCTGGACCCTCATGGAAACCCTCCAGGACTCCAAATGACCCAACTCCAGCCACTGTGACCTCAGAACGACAGGAAGCACACATAATCGGACTCTGGGAGCCCCCACGTGAAATAACTCCGTTCACATTGTGAACAGAACGCGGTTATTCTATCGCTCAGACTGTGCCATCTCTGGCTGTTTGGGGTCTGAATCATGCTCTCCCACTCCCCAGGCTGCCTTCCCAGTGAGTTCAGAATCACCTAGAATCCCAAGTTAAGTGGCAAGTCTAGGATAGTCAACTCCACACCTAACTTTAGATGAATACAAATCCTTCTCTAAGACTCTGACACATGGGAAATGTCGTCATCCCTGTCACTTGAGTGTGTATTAAAATGATGGCCCATTACTGTTACCCCATTATGCAGCTGAGGAAAACAGACGCAGGGTCACCAAGAAGTGGAGCTGGGATTTTGGTGGGGGGGAGGTTAGCCAGTGCTTACGGACAGGCAGTGGGGGCTAAGATCGCTTGTCTGAGCCCATCTCGTCTCTGAGGATGACAACAGTACTGTCCTTGGTTGCTGGAGTGATTAAATGAGATAGTCCAAGTAAAAACCCTCAGCACAGCCCAGACGTGTGTGGTAACTTAATAAAGGTTGGCTCCAAATACTTGAGTTATAAACCCTGCTTCCTAAAACCACCAGACACCAGACAGTCTTCCATAGGAAATAGGATTTATTTTCACATTTCAAGTGAACACAAATAAACGTCCCACAAGTGTATTATATACAAAATCAGTAGATTTATTAAACGCAGAAAAATCAAAGCCCTCCAGAAAAGACATGTTTACTTTCTGCAAGAGCACGTTCGGGCCATTTCCATTTTTCACCAATTCATGGACTAGGCACAGTACGCAGTGGGTTTGTTCCCAGGTTCGTCTGCTTCTACCCCCATGGACTCTTCCTCAAAAACCCCAGCAGCAAACCAACAGGATTCACAGTGGCCAGGGGTAAATGCCGTGGCCTAGGACCCTGCACAAAAGCCCCGACTACGTTCCAAAGGCCAAGCTCTGGGGTTCTGTGGCTTCGGCCACCAACTGGGGTCCTGCCACGGCACGGAGTAGTTAAGTGTCACAGCTTCATCTCTCGGCAATCTTGTTAATCAAATATTCCAATTAGAAGGGGTCATTACACAGATATAATGGCCCTTTTGCAGCGGCTGGCTTTCCCCCCGCAGCTGAGGAAAAGGCAGAAACCTGTCCCCGACGCTAAGCCATCACCACCCCCCGAAGTCCAAGGCACGGGTGAACTTGGGCTGGGGGATCACAGAGAAGGCCTGATGAGGAGTGGTGACATCACGTCCGTGATACTCATCCCAGAAATGGGGCGGTGAGGGAGGGCGGACACTGGGGAAGCAGTGTGGCAGGCCCGGTGGAGACCAGACGTTCTGCAGAGGCCTTCCTCCTTCCTCCAGCACACAGTGATGGTGGTATGAGCACAGGCAACCGGACGGGGCACCATTGCTGGCGTCCGACATGGCCGCCTTGGTGTGTCAACACACGGGCGGCCACTACCGGCCTAGCGCCCTGTGGCCGAGGCCCATTAGCTCAACTGGCCACAGTCTGTAATGACGATCTTCCTGGACGTCTTCCCACTCCTGGAACCGAAAGATTCGATTTTCTTCACGACATCCATGCCTTCTTTGACATGGCCAAACACGACATGCTTGCCATCCAACCTGTGAGTTGAGCCAGGTAAGAGTAAGAGTAGTGCAATGTCACCCAATGTCACGGTCACCTGGTCATGGAACTATTTAGGGGAGACAGGGATTCTGGAAGGGACCCACTCAGAAAGTCTGGACCCACGCCTCACGGCTCTGGTATCAAGCCTTGCGGAGCTCCCCCAAATACACCAGAGGGTCCCTCCCTTCTGGGGCACGTGCTGCCTCCCCTGCCGTGTGACCTTGCCCCTGGGCCACTTCACCTGAATCCTGGTAACCTGAGCTATGGAAAGTGAATTATTCTTGTTCCACACAGGGAGTTAACAGGGTATCCAACTACTCTCAAGAAATAAGAGGTCCGTGTAAATAGAACCATCTTAATGGTCATGAGTGGCAAGGTCAAAGCCAAGATAGCAAGCGTGGCTCTCCATTTGAGAGAGTTCCAAGAATCCAAAAGGCAGCTTAGTCCACTGGCAGCAAGGTCAACACTGCTTACAGCCAAGGGCAGCACTGCAGGATCTGCTGGGGGTTCCGCGGAAGGAGCAAAGAACAGGCGGAGCCAGCAACGGCCTGCCTGCGCCCTGACATCTCTGTGTCCCTTCCGGCTTGGTGGCCAGAGACAGCTGGTATCCACCTACCACTGAGGTCTCCCTGAAGTCCTAGGAAATGGGCTTTATTAAAGAATTAGCTCTTGGCCAGCTATTCTCCCCGCAACCCCATATACCTCAGGGCTAGGACACAGGGGACTCTGGGCAGAGGAACTTATTAGGTGGTGGGATCCACAGGCACGTGGGCAAGAGCGCTCCAAGGTGCGTTCCAAGGTCGAGGTAAGCCGGGAAACAACAGTTTAAACCAAGCAAATAGGCTGCCTCCACAGGCCATCTTGAGGCCTGGTAGGTTCTGCAGCACGTCCCAAACGTATGTGGTGAAAGTCCTTTTGCACAACACATGCCGAAAATTCCAGCTGACAGCAAATGGAAGCCTAACACAGACACAGTTCTAAGAACAACCCACATTCTCCCTCAGTCCTTTTACAAACTTGGTCCTTCTCCCACACGGACACACAGCCCGGCTGAGGGTTCCTGCCCCAGAGCACAGCGCAGCCTCACACTGCCTTCCCCCAGAAGCACACAAACACTCCTCTGGCTGCCAGGCCACCCCTCGTGCCCAGCGGGCCTGGAGCCCGGAGCGGGGGACTCACCAGTCTGTCTTTATGGTGCAGATGAAGAACTGGGAGCCGTTGGTGTTGGGGCCTGCATTTGCCATGGACAGGACACCTGCAGAAACAGGCAGGAGGGAGCCATGCTGCCCCAGGAGGCACCTCACTGGGAAGCTACTGACAAGAGCGACCGCTTCCCCCACAACAAGGCCACTGGGGTCTGACGGTCTTGGAGCCTAAAGAGGCCGAGCGGCTCCCCGGGGCCTGCCCACCAGTGCTGCCCCAGGGAGGAGAGGGCCTTGTGGAAGCTCTCCATGGCAGGACCAGAATGGGACTTTGGCACTCTGCATCTTGGGTCTTAAAACATGACACAACGCTGGGTTTTGCTGAAAGGCTTTCTCTCCCAGCTTCTCAAAGGAAGGCTTGTTCTTTAAATGGAGAGCTCAGCATGACAAAGCTCCAGGAAAACCAACACTCCAACCCGGAGTGCTGAAGGAGGGAAGGGGCATCACTGGATATCGAGCAATCGGTCCCAGCCTCCCAGGCGTGGTGGGCATGGTGGGCATGGTAGCGTCAGGGCTGGAGCTCAGGGCATTCAAACCGGGGAATGGCGGCCCCCACTCACCTGGTCCCACGTGCTTCAGTGTGAAGTTCTCATCAGGAAAGCGGCTTCCATAGATGGACTTGCCCCCGGTGCCATTGTGGTTGGTGAAGTCGCCGGCCTGTTGAGCACAGAGCACTTTCTGAGCAGCCGCCCCCCAGAGCTGGCAGGGGGAGGCTGCCGCGGCGCAGGGAGGTGGCCCCCAACCCACCTGGGGCCCACCCAGCCAGAAGCCCTGCAGACCAAGGGGTCAGAAAACATCCAAGGTTGTCCGGACTCATAAAATAACAAGGAAAATAAGCAAAAATAAAGCTTCAATATTTTCTGCCATTAATAACTACCCTACCTTTCACATGATTCACTTTTTTTTTAAATCTGGGCAAGTTTTTTAAATGATTCTCAAAGGATCTAATGGCCATTCTGAGACGATTAGTAGGTAGTGACCTAGAATTTTCTACCCACAACTCTTGGAGGGGAGACAGGGAGGTGGCCAGGGGAGGGTCCCTGTGCCCATGTCTGGTCTGTCGGGGAGCAGCACAGAGCCAGTTCCCTATGCTGAGCCCCACTCCCTGCCAGGCACTTCCCCCCTCACCAGGCTCGGTGGCCTCCCTACACCTTACAGACCCAGGACGGAGTCCCCCCAGGCCCAGTATCCTTCCTCACAGCTTGCCCAAGGGAGCAGTGGCCAGAAGAACCCAGTGGCTGTCGGCCCCAGCCCCAGCCTGTGGCCAAGGTGTCATGGCTGTCTTCCTGAGATATGATCCTCAGGTGACAGGGATGACCCGACCAGCCTGACCTAAGCCCCCACAAATACCAGCAGGGTGTCCCCAGACAGGGACGATTCAAAACCCTGGCCTGGGCCTCCCGGTGCCGCCAACTCATGCCTCAGAGAGCCCTCCAGCGCTGGAAGGACCCGCCCCTGCCCAATGCTGCTCAGAGGAAGACTCTAGCCTGGCTCAGGACCGCCCCTCCAGCTCCTACGTCATCCACAGCCTCCCTCGGGCAGAGCTGGGAGGGCCTCTGGGGCAGAAAGCCACAGGCTTGGCCAGGCCTGTCCCATGGCCACAGGCTCCCTCCCTGTCCCTGCAGTCACCACATTCGACACGTCGGCAGGCCCGGCCCCCACCCACTGCTACTCACCACAGTAGGATGACAGCCCCAGGTCAGACTGGAGGGAATGGGGGAGAGAATTCTGGGCTGGAAGGACTTCAAAGAGGTCATGACACTCATGCCCCTGCCTCTACGGTCTGTGGGCCTCAAGACTCCAACCCCTGGAGGGTCTGACCTAACAGAGGGTGACCACCACACAGCGAGGGTCTCGACCCCTGGGGAAGTTCCTGCTGTCCACATCTAGCCCCAAACTTCTGATACAGTGTTTTTGAAAAACAGGCAGCACACATGACTAAAGAACATTCATTTAACCAAGAAAGATGCCCCGCTCTAGAAGAAGCTCCGAGTCCAGACTTGGGCGTTCTTGTCAGTGTTGTCTCCCTCCCTCCCTATCGCCCACACCAAGCGTGCCAAGTGTTCAGTGGGACACACAAGGGGACTTGGTCCGAGACTGCCTGAGTACGCTGGTCCTCCAAAGCCTGAAGATCTACTCCCCGCCCCCGTGCACATCCAGATCTCAATGCCGGGCCCCCCCAACAGGCTCCACCAGCCAGCCCATCCTGCCACTGCCCTGTTGCTCAAGGGCCAGGGCCGCCCAACCCGCTCCACCGTCTCTGGGTGAGAAGACAGGCCCACAGAGTAATCCGTCGCTCTCCCCTCGGTATCTCATTAATCCTCACAACCACCCTACAGGGTGGCCCCTGTTATCACCCCCCTCACAGACAGGGAACCGAGGCAGACAGGGCCACAATACCTGACACATGAAGGATGGAATCACTCTGTGGAAGGTAGAGCCTTTGTAGCCGAAGCCCTTCTCCCCGGTACACAGGGCTCTGAAGTTCTCTGAGGGTTGAGGGAAGAGGCAGGTCACCAGGGCCAGGCCGCAACTCCAGGGTCACCACTCGTTCTAGCCAGCGCCCTTCTACCCCCGAGGAGTTGAACGGGGGGTGAACAGACCCCAGGCCCGCTCCCTGGGTCTGCTCTGGCTGTGTGACCTGGGGCAAGCCACCTCCTTCTTACAGCTCAGTGTCCCAGTGTCCAAGCACTGTGACAAGAGCACACGTTCCCGGCAGGGAGTCCCTGGGCCATGTAGCCACCGCCCCATCCGGCACCAGCGGGGAGGAAGTGGTCCTGGCAGAAATTTACAAGTGCTTCTACTGATTCTAAGGCTACCCTGGCCTGGTGGGCAGGGCCAACACCGAGGCTCAGAGGGGGACAGAAAGCTGGCCCAGGGTACCCGGCAGCTGAGCCTCATGTGGAACTCCCATTTGGTCATGGGTCTCTGTGCCTCGACTCCTCGCACCATCCCACCCACCTGGCCTGGCCCCTCTGTCTTCCATCTGGACCAGACTCAGAAGGCCCCAAGCCCCGGCTTACCTGCTGTCTTTGGGACGACATCTGCCTTCAGCTGGGGGGCGAGAAGAGGGACAAGAGAAGATGGTCAGTCCAGAGGCAGGTGACGGAGCGAACCTCACCACCCAACTCCCACAGCGGCCAAGGAGCCCCTTCCATGCCGGTGGCTCCCAGAGGCAGCCTAGGGAGCTATCATCTCTGCTAGTTGTCTCCTGAAACCAGGCTGGGAGGAGGCAGCCTCGGTTTCCCTACCCATCGGAAGAGGACAGTGCCACCCTGGCCTACTTCCAGGGGCAAAACTGGCAGAGTTACTACAGCTGGGCCCCAAGCATCAGAGACTTAGGGCCCGGAGAGACGCCAGTCCAAGCTCAATGCGCAGGGGGGAAACAGGCTTAGAGAGGCGGGGGTGGGGGGTAACGGGAGGCCAGAGCGCCATCCAAGCAGGCCCCTTGCCTCCAAGCTTCAAGAACCACCCTGGCGCCGAACCACCAAAATAAACGGGAGAAGGAGGGTGGTCCCCAATTTCCAGAAGAGGAAACTGAGGACTAACGGAGGTCTCGCTGTTCAAAAAGGGGTCGGGCTTGAGGGCTACACCTGAGCTTCCCCCCGCCCCCGTTTGTTCCCCCTATTTGGTTCTTACTTTGTGAGTCCCGGAGCGTGGTGGGGTTGGAGTTGGGGTCCTGGGTCAGCCCGGAGGGCCCTGCACCAGAGGAGGCCGGCTGGCCTGCCAGAAACCACCAGCGCCCGGGAGGAGGGTGAGTCCCACCGAGGGGGCGGGGCCGGGCCGGCTCCGCATTATGCAAGGGCCGCCACGTGAGCGCACCCCGCCGGCCCGCTGCCTGGAACCCCGACACCCACCCGGGAGTTCCGGGTCTGGGTGCTGACCCCGCGAGGTCTCAGCACCTCTCCCCGACCCCGGGGCCAGCCAGCAGGGCCGGGCTCTCACAGTCGACGACTTGACCTTGAGCTCTTTCCTCCACACTTGCCCTCCCTCCCGCCTCCAAAGTGCCGAGAGGACACCGGAAGAGACCAATCTGATGCGCCCTTCTAGGGATGGGGAAACTGAGGCCCATGGCCGGGTGTCGGGGGCAAGGTCACCAGCGAGTCGGGCACAGCGCCGGGCGCGTCCCGGTGCACGGCGCTCACCTCCAGCACCACGCGGCCGAGCGGCTGCCCGTCGGCGCCCACGTCCAGGTACACGAGCGGGTTCCGGGAAGAAGAGGACGAGTCCCGGGAGCCGCCGCCGCCGCTGCAGGCGCGGACCGCGGGGAGGCGCAGCAGCGCGGAGCGCGGGACCGGGAGCAGGCCGAGCAGGCGGGGGCCGCAGCGCAGCGCCAGCATCGCGGCGGCAGGTCCGGGTGGGAGAGCGACGGTAGGAGCGGAGACGACGGAAGCGACGGTTAAGCGCGCGCAGAGGGCGGAGTCAGCCGCGGCCGCGCGCCGCCGCCTTTATTGGCCGGGCCGGCCTCGAGGCCCCGCCCCCGCCTTCCCCTCCGGGCCTGTTCGCGGGCGTCCCCTGGCGGCCCCAGCGGGCGGCGCAGCCAGGAGGCTGGGGCGACGGAGCGTGAGCTCCTTTCAACGGGCTTCCCAAGGACTAGAGGCCTGAGGGACAGACACGACCCGGCCAAGGGGGGCCGGTTCCATTTTGTAAGGGTCCCACATTAAAAAAAGAGAGAAGGAAATGTGCTAAAACGTGGTTAACTCCAAAATATGAGCATCCATATGTTTTTTTTTTTTTAATTTTATTTATCCATTAGAGAGAGAGAGAGAGAGCATGAGCAGGGGGAGAGGCAGAGGCAGAGGGAGAAGCAGGCTCCCCGCCGAGCTAGGAGCCTGATGCGGGGTTCGATCCCAGGACCCGGGGATCATGACCCAAGCCGAAGGCAGACGCTTAACCATCTGAGCCACCAGGTGCCTCCATCCATATGTTTTTATTTGAATATAACAAAAATTTACGTTTCAGCCCTCTGTATAGGCCTCGCCTCCACCCCTAGGCCCTGCCCACAGAGAGACCAAGGGACACGGTGGGTGAGAAACCAAGAAGGCCGAGGTGAGAGGTGGGTTAGAACGAGAGGTGCGGGGGTGCAGGCGGAGACCACTCCCCTGCTGACCGCAGGCCTCCTAGTCCCAGTCTGGCCCTTCCTCCAGATGCTTCTGGACACCAGGTTCTCTTCCCACACGACTGGAACTCGGCAGGTGCCCAGCAGGCTCTGGCCAGACCCCAGCCCTCCAGCAGGGCTGGGGCCGATGCCCCTTCCCCAACCCCACAGACTAACAGGCCTGGTCCCCAGCCACGGGGTCAGCTGACTGCTGGCTCCCCTCCCACAGCAGTCACCCCAAGAACGTGCCTACAGGTAACAGCACGGGGGCCATCCCCTAGGGAATGCAAGGGAGGGTGAAAAGGTAAAGACAGGGAGAGACGGGGAACTGAGAACCCCGGTGGGGAGGATTTACCCCCCATACTGAGGGGGCTTCACACAAGTGTGGTAGGTGCGGGGGGTCCACAGTAAGTAAATAACGGGGGCCCTGGCAGGGCATCTCAGCCAACACCTGTACTCTCCAAACAGGAAACAAGGACCCAGAGTGAGGAAGGCACCGCTCAGGGCTGGGAGCACCCTGCATCTTCCACTGCCAGCCTGCGCCAGTCTTCTCAGACCTCTCTGAGCCTCAGCTTCCCCTCTGGAGAATGAGGATGTGATGGTGGTCCTTACCCTGCTTCTTCCCAGGTCTGTTTCAAGGGTAAAATGAACAAGAGAGAGAGGCGTGTGTCAACCGTGAAGCACTGTGCTATGAGTGTCGGTGATGGATGGGGTCTAGACTGTCTTTGCTTCAGGTCTAGGGCTCAGACAGCAGTGGGTCTCAGCTGCAGGGGTTCAGAGGTCCAAGGGGCTCAAGAAGAAGGTATGGGCTGAACCTTGGAGTCAAGTGGGCTTGAGCCGAGACCTGAATCAGCTCCTGGGAAGGGGTCAGACAGCAAAATGCTGGCCCGAGTAAATTCATGAGGTTAAAGCAGCGTGTCCTAGGCTCATTAGAATTCTGGCTTGCCCCTTTTCTGGAAGTTTACAGTCCCCTTCTCTGTTCCTGGCCCAGGAGGAGCCTGGTCACTCAGTGATGCTCCAGCTGCATCCTGGAGCCCAGAGGTTCCCCAGGGTCCAGCCCAGGAGGGAGCCTCACTCTGTCCTGGGGAATGTCTCCTCCTTTCTCATGATTTTGTGCCCTGACGTAGAACGGGCCTGAGTGGTGAGCCGGCTTGCTCCCTGCCCCATCTGGGCCCTGAGCAGTCTCCCAGATCCCCCTGCGTCAGTGAATACTGTAGATTTGAAAGAGGAAGAGAGGAATCACCCCCCATGTCAGTTCCAGGTCCTCAGCTCACACAGCCCTTCGCTACGCCAGGTGGATTAGTGGTGCC